TTGCATACTCGTGAAACACAGTCATAAGTATGGCGCAGATTCCCAGAACCGACCAGATAATACAGAGTTATACAGATGCAAGCGGAAGACTTGAGATACCTTGSACTGACTCAGACCTGRCTCGGACTGCAAACGAGACACTCTMAAACATTCATCAGGGTGTGAATACCCTGGCCTCGAGAATAGACGAAGGGCCAGGGATCAAAATCATACACGGACGAAAGGAGAGAGGAGAGAGACGAAGGAGGAGGAGAGGGAAGATGACGTCAACTCAATGTTTCCAAAGATAGTATCTTGAACTGTCAGAAGTGACGAAAATCCGAAATGTCGCGAATGCCAAGTCTCACAATATCCCAGATGTCGATCTCACAATGTCAAGTACATCTCCGAAAGGAAGATGAAATCAGATCCCCAAATAGTCCTCACCTCGTAGTCCCAATGTCGCTGTCTCAGATGTCACCAAAACTCGTAACCATCTCTCATCTGCAGTAGTCCCGTAGGAGAACCCAGACTAGACTGAGAAGGTAGGAAAAGAGAGAGAGATAGAACTGGAGGGCGGAGGACCAGAGGGAGAGAAGGCAGAGCCTTCCTCCCGGTACCTGGCTATGGCGCGGCAAGGCCGCGGTGCTGTCCCCTCCGCTGCTGTGCTCGCTGTCTCCTCGCTGCTCTGGCTCTCGCTGCTGTGCTGCGCTAATCTGCTTAACGCTGCCAAGCTGCGCTAATCCTGAAGACTAATTCCGCCCAGACTAACCTCATACTAATCTACCGGACTGAGGCTGGTACCCAGCTTTTTGTAGTGCTGGGCCGGCCTCTTGCCTACTGGTACCTTCCGGCCTGGACCGTTGATCTGAATCGACGGTCCAGATTTGAACTGGTTTGGCGCCCAAAATGTGGCAGCCTCTGAACCGCTGCCGGTGGGTCCTAGGCTGGACCGGTACCGGCCTTGTGGCCGTTTGGCCTGGGCCTGCCTGAACCGCCGTGGTCCAGGCCTATTCGGGCCTCATCTGAACCATCGTCCCTCAGGCCTTATCCTGCCTGTCTGGAACCGGGCCCTAACTGGGGCCCGTGTGGCTCAGTATGCCACATCCCTCTTCCCCGGGGACTCTTGTGTTATGCAAGTGTTTGGCAGTGGTTGGCAGTGGTTGGCAGTGGTTGGCAGGACTTCTCCTCTATCCACTCCCTTTGCCCTCCTTTGCTCTTACCTCGCCCCTGATCCGTACACTGCATGTGGCCAGCTCGTTACCTTTACCCCTATTTCTCCCCTCCTTGCTCTTTCCTTCCACAACCTATTTCCTCTTTCTCTTCGGCGATCCGCTCTCCTCATTCCCTTGCTTTTTCTCTTACCTCCCCACCCTTGATCCGCTCTCCTGGCGGGGTCGTTACTCCTCTGCCCCTCCCTTTGTGCATTCCCTGATTTTTCCACCTTCTTCCACTCCCTCCATTACTCCCTGCTTCTCCCCCCTCTTCCCGTTTCCCTTTCCGACAATTCCCACAACCGTGCTTCCCCTTTTCTATCCCACAATCTCTTATTCAAAACTGAAAGTGGAGGGGAGACTGATGGCAAAGGAAAGATTGTAGTAGGGCGGATGTGGGGTGGCAGGAAAGGGATAACCCACAGTCCCACATTTGATCAAAGTGCTAAGCGACAAGGGTGAAATCGCTATCATCAATAGCCGGAATCCAATATTGTGAGCGAGGAAGAAACCCTAAAACTAGGGCAAGAGGCCAATCATGCAAACTGACCAGGCAACCTACTACCCATGATCAGTGTTCCGAGATACTATGTGGGTGAAATCTCAGCTGCCAACCACTGGGGTTCCATTCAAAGGGACTAGGGGAGGCCAATCATGCAAACTGACCAGGCAGCCTGCTGCCCATGATCAGTCTTCTGAGATACTATGTGTGTGAAATCTCAGTTGCCAACCACTTGGGTTTCATTTGAAGGGAAGCTTGAAGAATAGGGAGATTATGCAATTGACATGGGAAAAGGAGGATGGATGAAACACACGTACCCACAAGTGACGGCGGCCAGCTCGACGTTGATGATTCCTCCAGAGATCCACCTTCCTCCATCGGGGGGGATGACCTTACCCTGGGCCGCTGAGGAAGGGGGATCTGTTTTTTTGTCTCTCTGTTGTCGCAGCTGTGGTCGCTGTTGCACCATGGATGTCGTCCGCTTTGGTCCTTGGTTGGCAGTTAACCCTCCTTATGCCGCTGCCCGGTGCGCGTTGACGGCACCTATGTCACTGCCCCGAAGACCAGTGCATGTTGACATGTGCCAAGGTTGCTCTCTGTCGCCTGTAATTTCGACACCACACCTCCCTCGTCCCTTGGTAGCCCCCGCTCCTTCCGATTCCTTTGACACCCCCTCGTCGTCGAGTGGCGGCTTGCTATTCTTATGTCGCTGCCATGTAGACGATTGTCTGCTGACTGTGCAGGCGCTGCTTTCTTTCTCCTGTGTCTTGATACCACGCCTTCCTCGTCCTGCATTAGTGCGCCTGATGCTCGGGCCTACTTGCCCGTGTGACACCCTTCAGGCTAACATGCTATGTGGGCACTCACCTACCATCGCCCATGTGGACTCGGCCATCTGAGCCAGCTGCCCTTTTCGAGTCACAGTCGAACTCACGTTTCCTTCGTTGCTGGCGATGGCGTGAACAATTGCAATTCCTTGCTGCGGGCCTGCCGTGAAGCGGGCGGCGCACGTTGTGAAAAAGAGGTGCGCGGGTACTGGTGGTTTAAGGCCTTGAAAAAGGGAGATATGATAATGCCTCCACACCACACTGTCTGAACATAACCCTTTCCGTTAGAAAACTGGGCTTACAAATTGATGGCGTAAAAAAGCTTGTATGCACGTTCGGCAGAACGTATGGCAAAATATTGCTGCGCCCAAGGCTTCCAGCGCCCTCTGAAAAAGACATTGATTAGATGGATTTTTCTTGAAAATCCAGTGTACCTTTCTAGGTGGGAAATGATTGTACATGCACCTCCTGGTCTGTAGGCAAATGCTTGAACAAGCTTGAGGATCCTTAACCGCAGGTCCTCGCTGACTCCTCGGTATGCAGAGAGTTGTACCATGCCCGACACAGTGGAATTTACCCAGCAACATGTGGCCAAAGGCCGGGTTATCCCCTCTTCCCCCGACCACAACGCACCCGGTCATGGGATTTATAGAAGCAATCTTTGCGGTCCAATACAGTCATAACGAGGGTGCGTTGTGCTCGGGCCAAGACGGTAGGCAAAGCTGGCAGACGCCAAACATCCGATCTATCTATCTTTGTAGCCCTCCAGACCGTGGACCTCGTTAACTGTCCACAGCGGTCAAGGTCCTATGGATGTAAATACTGAAAACCTTTGTTGCTCCTTTTCCTATTGTGGTGGTGGTGGTTGTACCTCTTGCTGTTGTCTTTGCTACTACTGTCATTTGATGTGGGTGC